CCCAGCCATGGCCAGCCGCAGCCGCTCTCCGCGCTCGCCACACGCGCAGCCCGCCCCAACGCCAGGGCTGGTTCCGGGTCGCCGCCGCGCGCGCACAAGCCCTTCCGGGTCGTGGCGCGCATGCGCGGGCAGCCCAGGCCGGCCCTGGGCTCTCCTAGGGCGGCACGCCTTCTGCGTTGCTTACGCGTGGCCGGCCTGCCCCTCGCAACCTCGGCCCCCACACCACTGGAGAGCAAAGTGTTTGGGCCCCGAAGTGCATTTCTTGGACATGCATCCAGGCGGCTAGTTCCTTTTGGAAGGTTGCTCCCCTTGAGAGCGGTGAGGTTGCGGTGCGGACGGCCCCCGAGGCGCAGGACGAGCCGCAGCTCCGCCTGTACTCGTGAGCTGGGGCCGCTGGAAGCCGGGCACGGGGACGTCACTCTCTTGACTCCCCTGCTTCGCCCTCTCCGAGCCGTCTAATAGTAGAATGTGTGACGCCTTTTCTTCATATTGATGTCGATGTGTCGGTGGCTTTTGTTAATGAAACCTTGGGGGTGAAGTTTTTCTTTGACCCCACAACCCCAAACTTCACTTTTAGTTTTCTCTACAACTTATCCTACATACTATACTACAGAATTTACTAGCACACTATATCATTTACTTAGTATTTTTATCATCTTTCTCCTCTAACCAGAAAACGTTGCAGGAGGGCAAGGAGTCTTTGATTCTGGTTAGTTTCTGGACGCAGCCTCAGTACCTGGACACAGCAGGCCCTCAAGAGGTATTTGTAGGGCCGGTCCGGTGGCGCACTCAGTAGAGGGCGGCGCTCCCGAGGGTTCGGATCCCATATAGAGACCGGTCAGCTCACTGGTTGAGCACGGTGCGGGCGCGACACCGAGGGTTGCCATCCCGTTACCGGTCACGAAAAAAGACAAAAAGGAAAAAAAAAAAAGAGGTATTTGTAAAATTGAATGAAATTTAACAAGCAAACAAACTCCGCAAGTATGCATATTTTAGGGACTGTCAAGATTTCAGTCCACGTCTTTTCAAATGACCACAGTGTTTTATAAAAATGACATAGTCCTTTGACACAGTTTCAAGGAGTATTGATTTGAACAAATACTCATGAAGTTTCCTTCCCCACTGCAGAGAGCTGCCCTGTCTGTGATCACACCACACCCCATCCCCCAATACAAGTCAGTTCCCATTGCTACTACTGGAAAACAGCTCCTCTTTTCCAGTGAAGGGAAATGTGGGTGATAAGTTCATTATTAGCACTATGAAGCTCAACATAACTGAGCCTATCAGATGCTTCATGTTTTCCTAATGGCATCAATCTTTCCCACATATTTCCTTACTCATTGTAGAGCTGTGGGTTAAATTATTACTTTCAGAAATGTGGTTTACAGCTTGCATCAGGACTGGTTTAAGCTTCAAGTGGCAAAAACCCAAAATACGAGTTGCTTACACAAGACGGAAGCTCCTCTCTCACCTCAGTGTGGATGGTACACTGGCTTGATCTTCAGAGAAGCAGGATCTCCACAACGCTTCCTCCTCCTCACGGTCACCATTCAGTTCTATATCTGAGATTCGAGTTTAACTGGGCGTCCTGGTTTTATTTTGTTGTTTTTTTGCTAAATCTGGCAATTTGGGTCCATTGGTACTGGAGTCTCAAGGGTTCTGAACGGCAGGAAAGTACTATTTAATGGCTTTCCTAAGCAACACACCCTGGGGAGGCCAGCAAGAGATGAATAAAATCAGTTTCTTTTACATCTTGGCAACTAAGGTTATGAAGCTTTAGGATCTCAGCTTAGCCCGTGCTGTTAGTAGAACTTTAATACCAACACCACGTTTCTCCCACCATGCACTTGTGGAACACAGCTATGGTGACAGCCCAGAGTGGCTGGGATGTGAACCCTTCAGTGCAAACAGTGGGAAAGTTTCAGTTGAGACCCTAGGCACAGATAACAGAATAATTAGGGCCTGTCTCCTCCTGAAGGATCAATTTAACCCAAAGATTCTAGGAGTTAGTTTCATGTAATTTAATATTTTAAAAAATATTAATACCAACGGATCTATTTTTCCAAACACAGAACTTAGAAAATTTCTAAGATAAAAGACAGCCTAGAGGATGTACCCTTCTCTTCCTTCTGCTGTCAGGTGCTGTGTGTGGGGGTTCAAGTAGCACTGTCCTAACGCAGCCAGGTAAACTGGCCATTGCTCTTCTCTAACTTGCAGCACCTGGCAAGCATCCTTCTTGCACCAGCGCAAGTGCAGGGTTCTTCTGCTGGGTCTTAACAGCCTCTTCCCCCACCTGGCAGATGACTCCACCTCTGTACCATGCTTTCATCCATGTACTCTGCTCGTATAAGTAAATCACACGCTGTTTGCATGGCTGCCCTTGATCTTCCAACTTGTGCTTACTCAACCGATGGACTAACCAGAACAGCTCTGTCATTTTCAGCCTTAGTTTTGTCACATCATGGTATACTAGGAAATTCTTAAAGCCAAGTAAGTATCAGTTCACTTCAGTTTCAAAGCAGACAAATGAGTAGGTTGTCAACTGTGCAAAGGAAAACAGACATATTCAAAACACCAGAAAAACTGAGAAGCCTCAGACTATCATCCAGACTCATCTGCCTCCAAAATCCATCCTCTGTTTACATATGAAACCAGGAAAGGAAGAGTGACGCATCATCGTGATGCCAGTTCAGATCGGCTGGCAGCCACAGGGCTCTGTGAGGAGAGAGGACGCACTTCCACAGGAAAGATGCTGGACCAGCACTGCAGATCTGAACAGGCGGGACAGAGTGGATTGGGGTGGAGCAGGAGCCATCAGGTGAATGCGAACTTCCCAGTGACCAGCTTTTAAATCAGAGTCTCTGAGTGGCCTCGCTGAATGGCCAATGCAAATACTGAATTGTGACAGTATGCCCCATCCTTCAAATGCAGTGTTTAATATAAGCCAAGAGACAGAATACCAAACTATATTTACTGTTTACAGTAGTAAAGGACAAAAAATAATGTACAAATTGGTGAATAAACACACAGAGCCAACAAACATTTCACCCGAGCCCATACAGCTAAACAAAGGGAAGAAGAGCATTTCAGCAAGATTTCAAGCAAGCAAGAGAAGATGGTCATCGCTCAGGTGACTGTAAAAGGGCAGAAAAGGGCCATCAGCAGCAGTGGGTCCTCATAAAGGGACAGAACTATGAAAATGTTTACAGATCCCAAAATATTCCACAGAACTGTAATCACCAGACTAATGCATAAATCCAATACGTATTCAAAGAGCAGCATAGCACAAGTCCATGAAAAGAACATGAGGCCCTCCTTCCACAGATATCATTTGTCACCACACTCTGCATAGCTCTTTCACACAACAACGTAACTGCAAATTCAGCAATACTTAATGTTACTTTTTATACATAAACCATAATTATTCATTAGAAGCAAACACTAGAAGAGATCTGAGGCCACGACACTATTACCAAATGAGAAATGTGGTATTTTCTTCTATGTTAAAAAAAGGAAGAAAAGCCAATTTTTGTAGTGCCAGTCTTTGCCTGTGTACCAATTACTGGGTACTGATCATGGAGTAGTGGTGGGGGTCCTGGGCCTCAGACCCCCAGGGGACACATTCAAGGAGCAGAGAGCACTTGGGGCCATATTACTGAAGGACTCATTTGTTTTTTTACTTTTTAAGAAGGATTCCAGTATTTTCCCTTCAACTTTACCATATGCTGACAAAGCTTAAATTTGCAAAATTTAGTATTTTAAAATCCTATGCCTACAACAAACAGCAAATGAGCTTCTGTCTTCCATGTCCACCATGGTCCCAACACTTGTCCAACAGACGCACCCCCACTGAGGGAACACTCTCCATGCTCAGAATGAGCAGTGCAGAGCAACTGCATCACCAGGGAGGAAAGTGCAGTCCACACATTAAACGCGGACATTCAGGCCACAAGTTTGTGGGGAAAACTTATAGGAGGGGGAAAAAAACAAAATGAAAACAAAAACAAAACAAACCCCAAAAACCTTGCAACTCATTTTACCCAAACAAAGATAACAATTCTGATTGGCCCGATTGAAGTAGTAGCTCCGTCCCTGCAGATGTGATTCTGAGTTGCACTCGAAGTACGTCAGAGAGGAAAATCATTTTGGTCATTTTGGTGAATGTCCTCACATTTCCACAGACTCCTTTGTGGTTGGTGTAGTCACGTGCTCACTACTCAACAGAAAATGAAAGGACGGGTGACCTGGTGTGGGGACAGTGCCTCTAGAGACCGTGCACCGACAGGCAGCGTGTCTCCCTCGCACCTCCCGTCTGCTGCTGGAACACGTCGATGGTGTCTTCGTCCTCCATCTCCAGCTGTCACAGTCATCGCGACAGGCACAATGAGAGAGGGAAGCTTGTTAGTTTTCTCTTACCAGAGGAAGGGAGAATGCTAATTCTGCCAGTGTCCCCTGAAGTGCCAACTACACCTCTGCTCCTGTCTTCCCCTCATGAGCAGCACACAGGAGCAAGAGGCCCTATTGTGCACTTACAGTGAGCCCTATCTGTTCACCAAGTCCCCCTCACATAACTCACAAAAACATTCACAGCTAGGAACTTCAACTGATAGAAAAACTCAGTCTAAAAAATACAGTGAAATGTCTAAAATTCTCACTGAAAACTACATGAAATCCGATTCCAATTAAGAGCATCTGATTAGTGGCTTGGAGTCCTGCAGGAGGCATGCACTTCACAACAGGTGCTGTGGGTCAGTGCCATCAAGTCTTGAGCCAGCCAGACCACACAGGGAGGCTCACTCCTCCCCTCCTCCTGAGGGCAGGGAGGGGCTCACATTTCCCACTTTCTTCTCTACTTCTGACAGAGTGGCACAAAAACATCTACCCTGATCTTTTTCCACTCTCTGAACAAAAGGAAGCTCTGCCAACTCAGAGACTGACCACAGCCAGAGCAGCATTTCCTAGAAACGCCAACAGAATTGGAGAGAGGTCCTGTCCAGGCTCTCGGCCACCCTCACCTTGCCACGACACCATCTGGGCAGCAGTGTACAAGCTGGAGGGACAACCCCCAACTCCGGAGGCCAGGGAGCCCACCCAGGCAGCGTTCGTCTGCTCCTCACCTGTCTGCCTGCAACCTGCCTCTGACACCTAGCTCAAGTCCCAACCACTGTCTTAGCAGTGTATGCTTTTCAAAGCAGCTAGAAATTAAATATTTATTGCAAAAATATTTTTAATATTATATAATGAAAATATTAAACATTTTGTAAAAACATTTTCACATAAAACATTCCAATTGATTCTGACAACCTTGTAAGAAAGAAAAAACAGGTATTATCTTCCTTTTGCAGACAGACAAAACTGAAACTCTGAGATTAAGTGACTATCGATTACAAGGTCATCGTCGACAAATGACAAGAGCTACAACTTGAACGTAAGTTAAAAGATCTTCTATTTCCAGCTCTTTCTGCTACAGTATGATGCACGATAAGTGATGCACCGAATCACATGCGTGTCCACTTAAGGAAAACTCACCATGCTGACTGACGGCGCAGTGACGTTCCTTCCACCCACACCTCCTGTGCAAAATGCTTAGCGGCCACAAGAACCAAGCCAGTCAGTCAGCTAGAAATTGACTAATTGCAAATTAAGTGTCCACACGACTAGTGGAAAGGGGCTTCTGAGTCGCCCTTTGCGCCTGGCCAGCCTTGACTGGAAGAGCTGCATGGTGGCCGCATCTCTGAATCACCCGTGCCCTGTGTGAGGGTCCCAGCACTCGGGCTCCATCTCCATACAGCAAGGATGAGGTCTGACAAAGTACAGTTTTGTCATTTGAAATATTTAATTTCAAAAGTTAAAAATTAAATAATCTCATAGTTAAAATTATTAAGAGAAAGTGAAGCATTCTATATGAGCACCAATCAATAATTCTCAAATAAGAGTGTTCCAAATGGCGATCACTCAAGTGCAAGCCAGAGGTGGCCTTGTGCACACCCAGCTGCTTCCTACCTGTGCTGGAGTGTCCGTCTCATTAATGGGTTGCCCATCGAACCTGAACCTGATCTGTCTCATTGACAAGCCCTGAAAAGAAAAAACAATTACCATAACATATTTCCAGGTAACACAACTTATTTCAAAACATCAAACATTTATATCAAAATATCAGAATCTAAATACAGATGTATAATCTGGTCGAGTATAAAAAACTTACCTGTGGGCCTACAATCTGTTTCACATGCTGCCCCAACACCAAGTCTTTCAGAAATCACTGTTCCAGAACTTCTCGCTCCCGGGGCCCTGCCCTGCCCCGACTCACTATCTTCTGGAAGCCGAGCAGGACTTCCACACAGTTGGCACCACTGCCCCCCTTCAAGAAGTTTTCAGAGAGAAATGGGTCAGGTGGCAAGGAAGGATGGGACAAGCAAGACCACAGACTGGGAGCAGTCACAGTGATTCTGGCCTTGAGGAGGCCAGCAGGTAGGGGATGCGGACTCTATGTCCTGCGAGCACAGGTAAATGTGGCCAAGCCAGCAACACTCACTGAAGCAGCAATTCTGATTTCACTCAAACAGGGCAGATGGGAATGAAACGTCCATCTCAGCTCCCTCCTGAAACCCCACTGACATGACATAAAAAATGGAAAAGGTACAAGCAATGAGGACAGAGACGGGAAGGCAGGGCCAGCAGACAGAGGGTGTCGCTACTGGGTTGGCACCACTAGACCCGAGGCCATGGGCAAGATGTGAAAACAAAGCCTGGGGTGGAGGGACTGTCATGGCCGAGAGGCAGAGACGGGTGGCGGCTGAGTCTGCAGGCTGCTTTGAAGTTCTCACCAGATGAACTTTGAAGTCAGAGCCCCACAACCCCAAGAGGCCAGGCAACTGTCCCTACTGCAGGCAGCACACAGAAGGTCTGCTGAGGTGGACACAAAGCTCTGGGCTCAGGGCACCAGGGACAAGTTGCTGCTAGCTCCCCGTGCCCTCCAGCTGCGCAGGAGGAGTCCTCTCCCTGCACGGATGGCTCTCAGTCAGCACCACCGGGCCCTCCCCAGGACCCCCAATCCATGCACACTGCCACACTGCATTTCTCCTGAGCTGTGCAGTCCTCTGTGCTTAAGTATGAGCAGTCATTCAAGGACTGGAGGACATGCAGGCAAAGACGCAGGTGTGGGAGAGGTCGGGCCAGAGCAGGTGGCAATGAACGTGAGGCAGAGAGGAAGGAGACAAGGACATTCACAGGCACACACATGCTACAGACACATACACATCACACACACCACACACTACAGATACAACCCCCCCACACAGCACATATCCATACACACACTGCACACTACAGATACACCCCCGCACACACGCCACACACACATTACAGACGTGCACACGCGCGCACACACACTCAAAGTTCTTAGGGAGGCAAAAGCACAATGCTACATGCAGACGCTCAAAGAAAGAGGAAGAACAAGATCTTTCAGAATCTAAAATCACGACAGGAATAAGAATGTCCACATACAGTGGGACGTGAGGCTCAGGAAACCTCCCAGAAGGAAGCCAGCAGTGGCAGCAAAACAACGGAGGGGGAGGAAACCACCAAAATCATAGCGCAGAGAGCGACCGCAGGATGAGCGGGAGCGCACGGTGCGGAGGGTGTGGGCCAGGGCTCTCGGAGCGCCGCGGGTTTCCCACAGTGACAGCCGGGCTGCAGACCGGACGTGCGGGCGGCCCAGCAGGTGACGCGGGCGGGCGTGGGTCCATGTTCCCGCCAGTGGGGCCCCAAAACACCGGAGGGCATTCCCTCAGAAAAGGGGAAGACGATGAGTCCCAAAACGACACGGGAGGGAGGCCGAGGATGTTTCCAGAACGATTCTGGCGGCGCTCTGGGAGGAAACTGCACGGTGGCCTCGGGAGCCGCAGGCAGGAGGCTGGGGGACAGAGGGCATCAGGCAGGGGACAGGCGGGCAGGGGTCCAGGGGCAAGGGTCCAGAGGCAGGGGGCAAGCAGGCAGTGGACAGCTGAGCAGGGGCAGTGGGCAGGTAAGCACATGGAGGGGAGACGGCACAGGCGGGACACCGCGGCTCCCCGCAGAGCCGGTGGACGCAGAGGAGACGCGGGGCTCTCTGGCCAGGCACGGCACACACAGGGGACGGGGCGAGCCAGCTGGGCCGTCGGGACGCCCGCAGAGGACTGGTGCGAGCGTGTCGTTCACTGACAACGGACAACGTCGGCCGCCTCTGCAGGGCAGGGAGGACGAAGAGGAAGGCATGTGACGTGTCACAGTTTTTCTATAAACGAGATTCATCCCCAAAGAGGCCAGCCGCCGAAAACAAACAAACGGCAAGCTCCACGGCGAGCACTGCCCAAGCCCAGACAGAACTCAAGGGCGCGCCCCGTGGCCGGCGCCTGCTGCCTGGGGAAGCCGCCAGCGTGGGGTTGGCGGGAGGGCCACGGAGGGCACCGTTGCAGCGCCCACCGTCATAGAGCCTGCAGCACCAGCACAGCCACGGGGGCGCACATAGCCCAGGGGCCTGCGCGAGGGTGAAGGCTTCGAGACCCAAGAACGGCAGCATGGGTGTGCCTGACCCACAAGTTCATAACGCCACCAACGACAACCACCTCAAGTCACCGATCTTGCTGGTCACCGCCAGAGGATGCCCATAAATCAGCTCACCGTTTTGCAAAGTGCTAACTAAAGGGAAAGAATCGAGCATTTTTGTGCCTTTCCTAAGCAAACTGGAAAACCAAAGTGTGGGTGGGGTCAGCGTCTGTCCATGAAGGCTAACGGTGAGGAAGGAACAGCAGAATGGCATTACAGTGCACCACTCTGCCAATGAGGAGATCTGAGCATCGATCCCCAACAGCGATTAGAAGACGCCGCCAGACAGAGTTGATCAAGCCTTGAGATCCACCTGTTAATTCACAGGCACATATGGACGAGAAGTCCTTTAAAGGACATCCAGGGATATGACCAGCAAGACCCAGCCCGGGGAAAAGCGCACAAAATGAACCAGGGTGTGCACATCTGCTGCACAAAGAGCATGGCAGAAGGCACCCTAGAGATTCCGGGAGACTAGGAACCCTGCTGCGTGCCAGCCTCCGGCAGCCGCACCTGCCTCTCGCAGTAGGCCTTCATGAGCTTGCTCAGCGGGGTGTGCCTCTTGATCTTGAACTGCACCACTGAGCCATCCTGCCCGGCCACCTTCAGGTTGATGTGGTCATTCTCCGTCTTCACTCCCTCCTGCAAGAGAGGAAAATGGCCTCAAAACTGTGTCTCAAAATAACCACGATTTTAAAAGGTAAGTCTTTAGGTAATCACTGGGCTTTTTTAAAGTCGTTAAAACCAGCCTATTCTATAATACCAACAATCCCTGTACTGGCCAGCTGCCCCCCCGCCCCCCAAAAACAACCTAATCCAACATAATCCTTAAAATTCTCCAGCAATTCAATCGCTTGTGTGATTGTTTTATTTTACACAGAATTTAGTTTTAACTTCTACTTGCTGAGCATCCATGTGTAAGAAAATGCCAGTCTCCAGAGTCATCACAGATTGTTTTTTCCAGTGGTGCATCTCACTGTATTCATTCACGCCGGGAGTACTCAATACTTATCCAAGTGCGCAGTGACGTTGCATGTTCCCGTCTAACACGGCTTAAGTTTTCAGGCAGACTGACATTTCATCTTGTCTGTATGCCAAGTACAGCTAGTTAATGCCAACCATGAGCAGGCCCGGCCTCGAACCTATCAAAGCTTTACTTCTTTTATCAGCACTCCTGATTTTATAAATGATGAAGCCCACCAACCCCTCTCCTACCCAAATCTCCTGGTAAACCGGGGAATAGTAGGGCTTCATGGGGATCCAAACATTTTTAATAATGCTTTGAAGCATCTCAGCGCAGGACCAATGGCTCAGACCACACCAGATGACCGCGGCTAACATCTTTGTCCTTTAACAGAGGGACAACAAGGACAAATGGCCTATCCTAGACTCTTGGTAAATTCCTAACAAGCAAGAGAACTGATGAGTTAAGGAAAATGAAACCCTAAAAACAGCAACCTCAATTCACTCCAGTCAAGCCTCTGTCTCAGCTCTCCAGGGGAGGCAGAACTGCTTTCCCAGCTGACCCACAAGCTCTTCTTTCCACCACTGACTTGACCTGTGAGTCCAGGCCCAGAGGAGTGGGCTGCCACCAGCCAGCCAGCAGGTGATGGTCAGCCAGGCCTGGGAGGCGGCAACCATTTAGTCATTTTGGAATTAGTTAAAATAAATGTACTCAAATGAATTAGACTATGGAAGTTGACCACCCGGCAGAGTTAAGTTTAGACAACGCTGAAGAAATTAATATCACATGTATTTTATTATGTTTAAACTTCATTAAGAGGAAACCACCTACAAAAACATAAAGAAAGCATATTTGGCCTAGGATTAACAGGTGTTTATTCAAACGACGCAAGAAGGGAGAAGAAGCTGAGCTGGAATCCAACTGCATCTGGATAGAGGAGGTTTTCCTGGAGTCTGACCTTTTCTCAAACTACAGCAAGGATCGTGCAGACTTCCAGAGGCTCTAGCCATGGACTTTTCCGGAGGGCTCCATCCCAGTTCTGTCCCTGTGAGTTGGGCAGCTGAGCTCGGTCCCTCCTCTGTACAGGAGAGTGGCCACCTCCAGGGCAGGGCTATGACCAGAGGTAGCCTGCCTGCAAGGCACTCAGCGCAGCAATCCACCTTCCGCGCAGTTAGAGCAGACCCCAGCAGCACGGAGGCAGAGTTTCAGAAATGTTCTGTTTTTATTAATAGTCAACACGACTGCAGTCGCAGACCTTCCCGGGGAATAAGAGCCAATGCACCTGAACGAAGGGCGCACAACCCACGTCCGCGATACAGCTGGTAGGGGGACACATCCGAGGGGCGCGATGGGAGGGCCGACACCTAGGGACGCAATGGGGGGCGCACACCCGGAGAGCGATGAGGGGTACAGCCGGGGGGCGCGATGGCGGCCGCCCACCCGGGGCCGCGATGGGGGTGCTGTCCAGGAAAGGATGGCAGTGCTGCTCAGTCGGGCAGAGCGCGCCCCCCAGTGGTGGCACGACCGCTGGTTCCTGCGCTGCCTGCGCGTCTGCGCAGGACCGGCGCCTGAGGCGATGCCGGGGCAGAGAAGACGGCGCCCGGGAACGAGGACTGCAGGGGGATGGCGACTGCCAGGGCGGAACCGCGGGCGCCGCGCTCACAGGTAGGCGTCGGGCGGGGGTGGAAGAGGCGGAGGCGGGGCGCTTGCCTGAGGGCGGGGCGTGTGCCGAGGGCGGAACGCATAACGGGGGCGGGGCTGGGGGCGGGGCCTTGTCGGGCGGGACGCGCT